GAAAATATAGGGATACACTGATCTTACATGGGAAAGCAGCTGAAGAACCTGATGAATTTCAGTTTCAAGAGCTTCCTTCAGGTCTGTATGTTATGCTTGATACTTGTGATATTCAAATTAGATTTTCTGCTCTAGCATTACCAACAAAAAAATTTATTAAGAAGAAAAGCAACTCCCCTTTTAAAGGTTCCATTTAACCTATTCTATCTACAGAAATGGTATAAGTACCGATTCTGATTATTTGGAATAGAATGCTAAATAAAATCTGAGAATCTCCAGAATATTGATCTGAATTAAAATTAAAATGTTACACTTGATCTCTCAAATTATAGATGCCAGAATTAAAATTAAAAAAAACAATGTATTTTATTATTTTATTAGATGTCAAGTCTGGTCCTCAGAATATTAGAAGATTGGTTGAGATTTTAAGAGCAGATGTAGTTCAAGGAATTGGAGTAAAGCTGCTAGAAAAAGTTTATGATGCAATGGAGGAAGAGGATGAACAGAAAAAAGAGGTATGTTTTTTTGACAGAACAAATATAAAACTAATTATTTAATACAAAATCCAAGAATGTAAAAGAATTCTAGAATTCTGATAGATCAGAAATAACAGATGCCCAGAAATAAACCCAATCCACAAACTATTCCAGCAAGATAGGCAGGAACAATCTAAGATGAAACAATACAGCCAACCAAATTAGATCAATGCAGGGGTGGGATGCTACCGGTTCTGGATGGCTCTATAGAACCGGTAACTTTGAAGAGCAGAAGACACAGAACCGGTTCTGTGTCTGCTGCTGTTTGGTCCACCTGCCTGCCCGGGTTCTTACCTGACCTTTATTTCCTGTTTTTCAACCTCAGCTGCTTTGCACGGCACAGCTGAGCTTGAAAAAGCAGTTAAAAAGTGCTTTTTGAAACGCTGCGCACCTGCATGCAGTGCTTATCAGCTGTCCTGGTGGCTCAGCTAATGGTGTAGTACATGCGCGCGCGTGTAGTATACACATGCACAAAACACAAAAACCGAACCAGTAATAATGCCGATTGAATCCCATCCCTGGATCAAGGTAGGTAGGGCTGGGTACAAACGCCACAAATCCAATTCCCTTGTGCCAAAGCACTGATATTATTTAATTTGGCAGCAAAATGTTTGTAAACTTATTGAATACCAAGATACCAACATTTCAGCTCTAGCTGCACATATTCTCCATTAACGTGTCTTAATATTTTCTATTACCATCTTTGTGTTGCCACAAAATTCAGTGTTTTATGAATTCTTAATTGTGCAATTTCCCAAATACGTGCACTAGTTATCTGTGGATTTAATAGTGATCAGTTTTGCATATAATCTCTGCTTAAATGTACTATTCATGTTTGAATTACAATGTTTTTTCCCTCCTTTAGCTATGTTTGCGGAAGCTCATGGGAGAAAAGTACACGTCTTATAGTATGAAGGCTCGTCATTTAAAGTTCTTAGAAGACAATGTGAAACTTTGACAAATACCTCAGTTGAACTGTTTCTTCCTGAAAGAAAGACACTCAGTTTGTAACTGGAATGATTTTTAAAATTTTCTTAAGATTCATTCATTTAGAAGATAAACCTTTTCCCATACTGTTTCTTGTTATCTATTGTAGATTGTGTATTTAGTTTAGAAGGAGCAATACATGCTTAAAGGTAAGTTTGGATAAGTGGGAATTTTTTTAAATACTAGCAACAAGCAGCACTTTCTAATGATTCTGTCTTTTTAAAATATTAAATTATTTTTGTTTCAACGTCAATCATTTAAAATTGGTAAACCTGTATATACTGGTAGTCAAATATGTACGTTGTTGGAATTTGGTATTTTAGACAACCTCTGATTTCAGCCCAAGAATAAATTTTCAGTAAAGTAGAATAATTTTCAATTAATGTTATGGTATAATGAAAAAAAAACCCTAACAAATTCTATTCAGGAAAAGAACATAGATGTGATGCACCAATTAGAGACAGGAAAAGAGTAAGACTATGTGAAGACCTTAATGCTTTCTTAGCTTAATTGTTTGCTTGCGGGAGCTTCATTATCCAATTAGGTAACATCATCAGTGCTGTTGGGCGTGTGATATGCTGTTTATACACAGTAGCTTGGTCTTGCCAGTGTTGGTGGGTAACACTCATTGTTAATTCCTTCATTAGGATATTGTTTTCTGCTTGTTTGTCTGGTTTTAATCACTGCTTGTCTGGGTTTTGGTTGTTGGAGATGTATTGAGGTCTTCTTGTTTTCTTCAAACAAGTTTCAAGGACACCAGAATTCAACCATGAATTGCATATATTCTCTTCAGTTGGAATATATATGTTTATATCTTTATCAACATATCTGAGAACCAGTATTTTTAAAACAATGGTGTACTAATCTATTTGTCCAATATTCACATATAATATTGGATACATAATTAGTATGACTATTTTTTTTAAAAAAGTAAAAAATCCTATAGGGCTTTTTACAAATTTTACCCTTCTAACAAATACATATTTTATATGAGAAATCATTTTCATTATTTTTGAATAAGAGGATGGGAAAACAACATAAATTGAGTGTCTGGAGCAGGGGTGTCAAACTCGCAGCATCATGACGGCGTCAAGTGACATATCAGGATTTCCCCCCATCGCTAAACTGGGTGGGGTGGGGCCAGTACGTGACGCATTTGACCTGCAGACCATGAGTTTGACACCCTTGTTTGAGTATTTTGCTTGAAACACAATGCTTACTATTTTAATAAACTTCGGGTTGTGATGGGATGTGTTTAATTAAATCAATTGAGATATTAAGCTTCACAGGAATCAAGTAAAATTATTTATTACAAAAGACTTTGAAGTGATGAACATTAGAAATTTCTTCTACTAAATTTTGTCTTGCTTGATTTTTAGTTTTATGAGACCAAATGGCAAAAGCTCTCTGACTTATAAAATTTATTTATATTGCACTGGAAAGCTAAGCATCAAGCAAAAATAATAGAATATCTCTAGAATTTGATTATACAGTCAAGAAATTCAAACCTAGTCAATCCTAGGCAACTCTAACTCTTATGGGACACCAGACCCTCTAAAACCCATTAACAAATATATAATTGATTAAATCAAGTAAAATTAAATAATATGTGAAATAAATGATCTCTGAGGCCAGTTCAAAAGCCACAAGTGGAAGCATTGTTTCACCACATGGGAACAGTTTTAAGGTTACGTGGGACTATGTCTTGAGTGTAGAGGGAATAGCCAAGGAATCTGAATCAGTACATGTAACAGTGAAAATAGTAGAAAGCAGAAACACTATACTGCCCAAAGGGCTAAAAATAATATTTCACAGTAACACCTGGCCTTAATTACAGCTAATGCAGGGCTCCAAGAAGACAAGGAACCTAAGTCAACAAAACAAGAGTAGAAAAGGAGAGAACTGCTAGGAGGCTATTGCAGTATCTAAAATTCCTTCCTTGCCTCCCCGCTCACTCCAAAGTGCTTTGAATGGATTGGATCCAGGAATTAATTACATTAGTCAGCATCTACTGAACAGAACTGAGTAGAATTTCTCAGAATACTCATGTTCATGAAAAGGAGCATAGATGCCAATGTTGCTCCCAAATATTACAGAAAATTTAATGATATAGAGCAGATTTCTAGGAAGGTGAAAATTCTATCATTGCTCATTCTGCCAGTGGAAATACACTGCCAGATCAGACATTTCTCAAAGTAGAAGGAGATGTCATGCCCCCAAAATATACAGTAGTTGTTATACAAACTCAGCTCCTCTATTAATAAACTTTTATACAGAACCTGGAAAACAAGGAGTTATTATCATTGTTCTTCATATTTAGGACCCAGATTGTTGGAACCAATATCTGACTCTGTAAACTGCTTAAAGAGGGCTATAAAGCACTGTGAGTCTAAATGTTATTGCTATTTTAGGACATGCAGTAATAAAATTTAAAAGCAACAAATGCTTTGCCAATTCACAGAATACCAACATTTATCACAGAATGCAGATTATGGATGCAGAAAAAGTATGCATGAATGATGGAGGTTAGAGAACGCAGAAGAGTCAGAAGGAAATTAAATACAAGTCATACATACGATATAAAAGCAAAATGGTTATAGCATCAAAATGTCATTCAAAACAATCATTCTGGTATGATAATCCACATATGACCCTATAATCTTGGTCCAATTCTTAGGTGATAAAATGGGATTGCTATATCAAATTTAATTTAAATTTTCATGCTGGAATTTCTTATTGAAGTTCATTCACTCAGGGAAGATCACTGTAAATAAGGTCAGTTAAGTGTTTAAGAGAGGTTAACATAGTTGCTACTGTAGCTTTTAGATACTATGATTTCTGGCATTGTGATTTGTGTACATTCTTAAATGATCACAATTGATAATTACTATGTGCGTTCATGAGTCTATAATCTGGAACTCTGGATAATCTATATTGCATCTGTTAAAGTGAACTATAATCCATTAAAATCTCATCCTATAAGAAGTATTAATCATTAAAATGTCAGAAGATTTTCACTTTTGCTGGAATTTACACAACTACTTTGAAAATGCATTGAATACATACATATTTAAAATATTACTTAAGCGCAAATTCAGAATTAGTCATAATATGATTTTGCAATAATGTCTAACAGACTGGTTTAAAGAGATTGGCCTATTTTATTGTTGACTGCAGTTAAGATGATTTCTAAGTGATTTCTATGATTAGTGGTAGTAGACTTTTAACTACTGCAGAAGCAGCAATATAATTATTTCCATGGCTTACTTAATCCTCTTAGGATATACTAGAAAATGATTGCTGAGCTAAACTATAGTGAGCTAAGCAATTCCACTATTAAATGCAGCTATTCCAATATTTAAATTGCTTAATAAATCACCAAGTGTACCATTCCCTAGATGGATGGAGTTAAATACAACGAAAGAATTTATTCTCTGACTGTGTGCAGAAACATCAAACCAAGTAAAAGAAGAGAAATCAATTTTAAAGCAAATTTAATGACAGAAAATCATACAGAAGATGTAGTTTTTCAATTTTTAGGATGCCTCTTTACTTTTCTGTCTGCAGGTTTTTTATCATCTGTTGCAGATTCCTGAACAGGGAGCCATTTCAGAGGATTGCGACGGTAAATGGGCCATGGAGGCAGTGTGAGCTGTAATACAAAAAATTAGGACAATTTAAGACTCCTATTAAATGCTTAATTTTTGGTTAGAACAACTAAGATTAGGAGCAAAGGAAACTAATCTGGTGAGCAGTATTTCCATAATACTATGTAGTTGCTTCAAACGAAGATCAGGATAAAAGCCAATTGCAAAAACAACAAAAAGCTGGAATATCAAGACAACAGAATAACATATAATACAATGTTGATAATTTATTGACCAAAGAAAAAATAATTATCTTAATCATTTAGCACGTGTGCTAGCATTACAAGTACAGTTCACTACAGTCATTGCAGGACTTGATATTTTTAATATACTGTGTATATTTGCTACAGAATTATATTCTTACCAGGCACGATACAGCAAATCCAGCCATTACTATGTAAACTGTCCAGCCAAACTGTTCAGTAATATATCCATAAATAAAGCCAACCACCTATAAGATAAAAATTAGATATAACAAAGGATATTCAAGTCTATTTCTCAAACCTAATATAACAATTTAAAATATATACAACAACTGAAGAAGTTACTGGGTATTCATAAGAAAGTATTGAATTCTTAATAGTCTATAGTTCAGGGCACAATGCTAAAAAAGGTATCGATTTTATTCTAGGATGTTCTTACTGCAATGACAGCTATTTTGAAAAAGGGCTGGGATCCAGAAGATTCCTGTGCTCCAATAATTAGGAGAGATTTTGCTTATTTCCTAATATGTCACATAAAATATTGTCAAGAATCTCATGCTTTACCTCTTATGAACATCTTTTACGGGAGGGTAAGGTGGAAAGAGGTGATGAATTTACAATGATGGTGTTCTATGCTTTTTAGTATACTTACAGCAGAGAAAAGAATTATTCCTTGAAAAATCTGCTCTGCTAGTTTTTGACCCTTGTAGTCCTGTGGAAAAAGAAAAATAAATAGCACCAATATTTTCCCCATCCCTAAAAATTATAGCTTACACTAAGATTTCTGATAATGTAATAGGCATAAGAGCTGAGAATGCATTTAAAAATAAACCTGAGGAAGAGTTCTTAAAAATAGATATTTCTACTGAATATGAAAAGTTGAGTATGCTTATAATTTCCATTATGGTCAGAGTACAGTTCATTTTTAATTGCTGTTGCCTGCTAAATATATAAATTTATTATATTTACCCAGCAGGTTTAAAGTCAACTTACATTTGACTTTTGTGACATCTTTTAGGTTCAGCTAGGTATTGTAGCCTCTAAGTGGTGATGTCAGCTCACTTCTTGAAAGTTTAATGTCCTTTTTAAGTTTTGTCTAACAAGGACCAGAGGCTGGAAAAAAGGTTTTGTTTTACCTCTCTACAAAGAATTTTATAAAATTCTTCAGATACTTGTGTTCTGGCTAGGTTTACACAGGTCTATTAATATTTAATGGAAATATGTAAACTTAATAATTATGGCTTAAGTAATTCATAGTCACAACAAATCATAGTTTGCCTCAGTGTGTGATCTTAGTTAATTGAAGTTAGCGGAATTCAACTTGAACTGAAGGAAATGGACTAATTTATTTTGGTCCACTCATTTATACTTATTTGTTCAATTTGTACATCTTGCATATGCAACCAGGCGGCTCTCACAACAGCTAAAATTCAGAGAACAAATACAAATAGTAAAACAATTTATTAAAATACTATTAAAAATAAAAACCATTAAAAAATCTGCAGGAGAATGGCATTCATCTTATGGACAACATAATCATTGCATAGGTTGCAGGCGGTCACAGGACATGCTCCAACATGGCAGCAGAGCTTCAGGGCTTTCTGGAGTTAATAAGGTTCGGGCGAGTCAAATCTTGGGGTGGGAAGATAATGTTCCAAAGATGGGCTCTATGGCAGAAAAGGATTGTTTCCTGGGTTTTGTCTGATGTAACTTCTTGGTAAATAGGAGCTATAACAGTCCCCGACAGACTGATGGGACAGATAGATGCAACCTAGGAGAGTTGATTCCTCCAACAACTACCCCTTGCCATCTAGGGCTTTAGTTCATTAGCATCACCTTGAATTGAAGCCAAAAGCAAATTGTTAACCATTGCAGCTTGTGGAGCAATGGTTCAACATGCTGATTATGGCTAATCAAGGAACATCAATGATTGCTTGCACCATTGTATTTTGTACTTTCTGGGTGCTCATTAAGGGCAGCCCCTTGTAGGGTGCATTATAGTAATCCAGGGTATGGCTGACTGACAGCAGAGCCTCATGAAATCCAGGAAAAGATGCAAATAGCACATAATCCAGTTGTGCAAAGGTCCTCCTAACGACAGCTGCTACCTGCTCAATAAGTTTAGAAACCCAGTTTGAGCATAGGCTCTGTCTGGGGCAGTGCCTCCCCATTCAGCACCAAAGATGGTAAGTTCCCAGATCCTGAAAGCCTCCAAACCTGAAGCCACTCATTCTTGCAAGGGTTAAAGTCTGCTGTTCAATCATTTAATTTTCCAAGAACAGAACTGTATTTCTGGGTATAATCAGTCTACTGATGATACTCTTCCTCCTAGCAGTGGATAATCTCACCCAACAGTTTCATGTAGACATTAAATAGGAGTAGAGAAAGCTTTGAAGTCTGCACAAGGTAGAGGATCTCTTCCAATCAACACCAGCTAAAACTGCCTGTGAAGAAAGGAAGAAAACCAGCACAAGATCCATTCCCAATCCCTGCAGCCGGCCCAGAAAGACTACAGTTAATGGTATTGAAGGTCCTTGAGAGGTCAAGTAGATCAAGGATGGATAGCCCACTCCCACTGGAGGTCATCTAAATTCAGAATTTTGTTTCAGCCTCAGCCTGAAACACAACTGAAGGGTTCAAATAACCACTTTATCCAAGATCCTCTGAAGCTGCCGATCAACTTCTCAACAGCCTTCTTTAAAAAGGGAAATGGATACTGTGTGAAAATTGTCAAGGTTGGCAACAATGGCTTCTTGAGATGGGGCAAAACAATCACTTTAAAGCAGGGGTGTCAAATTGGTGGCCTGTGGGCTGGATGTGTCACACACAGGCCATGCCCAACCCAGCTCTGTGAAGGAAAAAAAAATCATGAAACATGTGACAGCAACGTGACGTCACAAGTTTGATACCCATGTTTTAAAGGGTGGAAGAACAACCCCCGCCTGGAATAATTCACCACCTCTAGAACCCAGCCATATAGATTATTACACTAAACAGGATGATTAAAAACTGAAAAGAGGAGGAAGAATTATTTAATGCCTAAAGAAAAGAATGAAATAAATGTAAACAAGTACAAGCATAACTATAAAATAGAAATTCTGTATGGAAGGACTGTAATCTCTGTCCAATAAACAATATTCATGTATTCAGACACTCTAAAATATTTCACATTTTGGATGGTGAATAACAATAATGTCTCCCAGTGAGACCTAGTAGGGATGCCTTCTTGGTGTTCGCCCGCCTTGCCTTTGGAATGATTCCCCATCCCAGTTTTGCTGAACCCTGCAGGGCATCAGAAAGGCAATTCAGACCTTTGGTCAGGATGAAAAAAATATTGCTCAGTACCCATTGGGAAGATATATTTTAGCCTGATTGCCAGTTCATATTTTTGGTTTGTATATTTAATGATTTTGTAAGCCATTTAACTAATTACCAGGAATTGAAATAATTTGATGGTACATAATCAAGTTACCCATGTTGAATCATGTTTGGATTTGAGTGGTCATATAAATGCTTCAAATAAATAAACAAAACAATCAATTGAACAAGTCTAGTCAATTTGGAAAACAAGGAGGAATCAACAAGTCTAGTCTGCCCAATTTATTGTAAACCTCAAAAAATAGGATGTTAGAGTTAAAGCTCTATCAATAAATCCCACTGACCTGGCACTCGCACATCACAGGGATTAAGTTTATTTTTATCGAAAGTGATTAATGTTGCCAAATGTTCCTTTAAATAGTGAAAAAGACTTTTGAGGGAGAAAATATGTTGAGCAACACTTATTTTATCTATATCAATATTCTGTCAGTAGTATGTAGTATCTTATTTACCTAGGTCTTTGTTAAATTTATTTGCTGCCTATCTGGCTGCGGGGCTACTCTACACTTCAGAAAATAATCAATGTAATATTGTTAATTTAGTGTTTCAATATTTTCCAAGATTTTATCTTTTTGAAGTAGAATTGTGTTTTAAATATGTTTAACTGATAGTTACTTTTTGTTTTACCTAAGCCATCCACCTGATCCACATTATGAGATAACTAATAAAACCCTACGGAAACAAAAGGCTTATTTTAAGGTATTGAATTTTACACAACTCGAGACATTAATTCAAAAACGGGGAGGAAGAGGAGGTAGAACAACGGAGCCTTTTTGTTTTGTATTCCGAACCCTACATCTTTCCGCCTAATGGGCACCTATCAGTCATCGGACCTTCGGGCGCTTCTATTTAGGACACGTCTCCTTATCAGCCCAGAGAGCCAGGCACTTCCTATCTGATAGCCTGGATGCTTTACCGCTTCCTGCCCGACCTCAAAGTCGGGCGGGCGGCAGGCATAGTTCTGTCCTCCGCTGGTGGGGGGCGGGGGCGGGGGAGGGAGGCAAGTCCCGGGACACCCCCGCCTTACCATCTGCGTCGGGATGGATCGGAAGAAGTTGAGCATGGTGGTGCCCAGAACAGCAGCGCCGTCTAGATTATTGCAGCCGTCAGCGCTTTCCGAGAGGAAGGGAGGCAACGGGAGCTCCTCGGGACTGCAGGGAGGAAGCTTGCTCTCCGGCGGCTGGAAAGAGTCGCCCAGAGAGTTGCCGTTGGAGGCGGGAGAGCCGAGCGATGAACAGTCAACGGGCGCTTCCGGCTTCTTGATCAAGACGGCTTTCTGCCGTAAGGCGGGCGCTCTCGGACATACCGGATTCGACGTCCTCTTGCCCCGCCTCATCATTTTTGAATTTCCGGCTCGGCTCGGGCGGGGCGTCGGGGCTATTCCCCTCCTGGACTCATTCCAGAGAAAAGCCAACTCCGCTATCGGATGCTGCCGTCTGTTGGTCGACTGGCAATAGCGCTATGACGTCACAGGGCTCGCGGCCAACCGTGGAGTCTTAGTTCGTCACCATGACAACAAGCGCAGGAGGCATTTTCCAATCTTTTGGGTCTTAGTGAAGGTGGCGTCTAGTGTATTGCCGCTCTGTTTTTTTTTCCTAACACACACACACACACACACACACACACACACACACACACACACACA